GGATTTGAGTGGAAGAGAAGTGGAGACTGTAGGGTTACGACAGGAGTCACAGGACATGGTTTTAACTTTTAACGTGCAGGTTGTATATTTAAATTGGACTATCTCGGTAGTGGACACGGTTAAAAACTATAAATAGTGTTAGGTTATTCATTATTGGTTTATTTAATGTTAATTGGGCTAGAATTTTGGGAAGCCCAATTGTCAAAATTGCCTAATTAATTTTGGGAAAGAATGATGGAAAGTCCAATTAATTTTTTTTTAACGGGTAATCGGTTCGGGGCGGTGCACCATCGCTAAATACCATACCCACCCCTAAATGAAGCGGTTCATTAAAATCAAAACCATAACCGGCCCATTGCACCATCAGTTCGATTTTTTTCGCCCCATTCGGTTCAGTTAATCGCGGTTTTCGGTTTTAACAGTTCGAATTGTCATCCCTATTTTGAATTGTATAAAATCTTTTTTTAAAAATCAAATTGTTAATTATTTAAATATTTAGATATTGTTACACCTGTAAAAAAAGATTATGTTGAAGGGTCTCGTAATAATTAGTCGTCTAGAGTCTCTAAATCTTGGGACTGACTGATGACAAAGGGTGGAGGGATGTCAAAGAATGGTTAACATTCCAAAAGAAAGTAAAAGAAGGCTTAGAGAGAATAAAGAATTGAAGCCACCTCGAATCACATTCAGAAGAGTACAAAAATACGTGGAACCAATTTTCTTGCCCTGACGACGGTGTGGTGGCGAAGTGGGTGGTAAGGGGAAGGAGAGGAGTGCATGGAGGTTGGTGAGTGAAATAGTGGTAGAGGATAAAAGGGACCCAAGATGCAATTGGAAAGATGTGGTGGTGGTGGTGGGATAGGTGGGAGAGAGAGATTTTTTTTTTTTTATTTTAATTTTTTAAATATTTACTTGGGATTAGTTTGTACCTTTTTTGAAAATTCTAGAACTACAATTGCAATTAATTCTTTATATTTTTCTTCTTTTTTGTTTTGTTTAAAGAGAATGACATATTCATCATTTCACGGGACTTATTGAAAAAATGGAAGAAAAGAGGGGGGGGGGTCCTTCGCACCGAAAAGGTCATATGGAGGATATTTCATAAAAATGAAAGGTTATAGGATATTCTGTAATGCTCATGGAGTTTTGTGTCATTCATAGCTATTTTTTATTAAATTATTATTTATGTCATACTATGTGTTATTATTCTAAACCTGCACTTGGACGAAGAGAGGAAAAGACAAGCTGTGACATTTTTTATTCATACTTCCAGTTTCAAAGTTAGTACATTTATAAAAATTATTAAAAATCGTTATTTGGAATCCTCGTCACTTTTAAATACTTAAAAGTTTTGATTTAATATCTCATAACTTTAAAGAGGTTATACGTCAAAGTAACCCAAATACAAACCCATATTTCCAAAATGACCTTTGATTTTTCTAAAAAATTGAAACTACCCAAAATACCCCTAAATATAATATTTATTAAACTATGAAAAGAATACAATTAAGTCCTAAAGAATTAGATTGTCATAAAATGACTTACAAAAAACCAAGATCTGAAAGAGGACCATACAAGATTAAGAAACTTGCTAAAGATAAAAAAGAAATTGAATTTAAAAATAAATTTGATAAAATTGGATATCAAGAACAATTAATTGCATCACAAAAAATATTAAAATGTTTTAAAAAAAATATGATAGAAAATTTTGCTAAAGGTATTGTAAGATCTATAATAATAAAAGATATACAGGATATAATAGACAAATTAGAAAAAAGAAGAAAAAATATTTTAAAATACGACATACCTTTTAACCCAAATATAGATATAATAACAGATCTTGATATTATAAATTCTCAAATATTAATAGATTTTGAAGATTTACTCAATAC